TACAGAGTGTGTTTACAGTTCATGAGAATCTAATAAAAAAAAAAAGGTGATGTAAATAGTGTGTCCCTTCAAAATTATCTGTGGGTCACAAAGATCGATGGCAATACAGACAATATACAACAGCAGTAAAGAACAGGGTTTGGGATCAAACAGAATCAAGTTTGAACCCCTTCTGTTTATGAACTGTGTGACCTTGAGCTAAGCACTTAATCTCACTAAGGCTGTAAAATGAGAACAAATAGAACATCTAACATTTGTTGATTACGTTTTATGTGCTGGGCACTGTGCTAATTCTGTCACATGCATTCATTATCTCATTTCATCCTCAAAATAATCTCATGAGGAAGGTACTATTAATATCTTCATTTTACAAATGAAGAAATCGAAGCTCAGGAAGGTTGGGTAACTTGTCCACAATCTCAGGATGGCAGAGCCCATAGCTCAACGCCACATTTTTTGGCTGTAAAGACCAAGTTCATAAATACCGCATTATACTGTGTTGATATTGTGTCCTTAGGGTAGTACTCTCCTTATAGGGCGAGTTGGGAGTATTAAACGAGATAACCCAAGCAAAGAATATGCCTGCACATTGTTGGCACTATTATTACGTATTATTCTTATTAAATGTTACCTGCTAAAATGGGTATAGAATTTTACTGTTGACAAAGACGATTTACAAAGTAACTCATTGGAAACTGACTCAGAAAGTTTAAAAAACTCAACCGAGTTCATTTCGTTCATGAGCACCCCGATATCAGGATCCAAATCTTTTACTTCTAAAATGCAGCAAGCCTCACCCTGCCTTTTAATCACGGTTTTTATGTATTTCATTCATTATTTCAAGATGGGTTATTTTCAGATTAGTTGGGTTCTAATCTTACCTGCCTCAAAATTGTGGCTTTAACTTGGTGAATCTTGAAATTCGTTTCTTCATTTTCTGCTGACTCTCTCCTTTCTTCCAGACAGTTCTCCTTCCGGAACGGGGAGGAGAGAGAAGCCCCTCTGTCTGACACCCACATTCCTCCCCGCTGTTCAATCCCAGGGCAGGTAGAAGTCAAACTATGAATGGGCTGCCTTTTTAAGGTGATTGTAGGTTGGATGTTTAGAGATGTGAGCATTTTTCCTACATTTTGAATGGAACTTGAGTCCCACCATGAAGCCACGGGAAGCCACCCCGAGCCTGTGCCAGACACCAAAAAGGAGGGAGGCGGATGGGAAAGATGAAGCCAGGGTCTCTCTGGTCCCTTCAGTCCAAGCTCGTCCCAGACCAAGTCCCGGGAGTCTCCCAGCTCCTCAGGATTTCCCAGTGATCCTTATCTTTCTATTGCTGAGTGACACCCCCCCCCCAGCACACAGCCAGGCCAACCTTACACCAAAGAGCCTCCTAAGCTCCAAAGCTGTCTATTTGTTTCTCCTGTTTTTTCCTTTTTACCCTCTAATCTAAGTGGGTATTTGATATGAACTGGGGTTTGCAGGAAAGGAGAGGGTGAAATAGTTCACATTAAAGCCTAAAGGGCTCATTTCCTCTATCCTACCCAGAGGCCCAGGCGTCTGGGGTTTTAAAAAGATTGTTACCAACGCAAGTGAATTGGTAATGGTGGGAATTCCCGGAGTGAGACAAAATAAAGTGAAAAACAACCCAGGCAGAAGGTCTTGCCCTTCCCTTTATGCCACTGACCTCTCCTGCACACAGAAGCACATTGAGCCCAAACACACATCTCACCAGCCACCGTGGCTTCCAGACCTTTCCTCATCAGCCCGACAATCCTTTTTTCATCTTTGGAGTTTAACCCAGGTAGCATCACCACTGAGCTACATCCCCAGGCAGGGTCTCACTAACTTGCTGAGGCTGGCCTCGACTGTGCCGTCCTCAGGTCTCAGTCTCCTGAGTTGCTGGGATCACAGGCAGGCACCCATGCACCTGGCTCAACCTGACAACTTTAGAACACTCCCACCAGGGGCTGGAAAGGGTCTTACAGCACATAGCACAGGCTCATTTTGTAATTGAGGAGCCAAGGCTCAGAGAACAAGGCCCAGGCCCACAACTGACGGGAGGCAGCATCTGCATTAGCATCCAGGTCTTCTGCCAAAGGACCTGGGCATTATCTACACTCCAGGCTCAGCACTCGGAGGCCTTGTGAAATGAACTCAGGGACATTTGTGCATTAACCTGCCTGTTCACTTACCCACTGGGTTTTCTTTTCTCTCCTTAGATTGGCAGGTGGAAGTCATTGGTGCTAAAGACATTGACAGTCTGACCTGGTGTTCCTACCTGTGTGTTCTGACCCAGAGGCTCAGCCTGCTCTGTCCTCTGCCAGGTAGGAGACACTAGTCATCCATGGGAGAGATCATGAGGGTTAGAAGTACCTGCAAAAACATAGGTCACTTCCCTTTTCATTCTCTCATTGAGCATTTAGTAATAATGATACAAATAATCACTTATTATTAATATTAATCACATTCAATAATAATCAGAGCCACTCTTTTGCCCTCTTAGCAGTACTGCATACTGTGGATCCTCTACCTCTAGAAAGGTCCTTTGCCTGGGTCATATCTCAGTCACCATTTCCTGGCCACGTGACCTTGCCAAGTTACTCAACCATGACTCAGCCTCTTCATCTCACAAGTGGAAGCAATACTAGTTGTTACCTAATGGAGTTTTTTCTAATACACATATAAGTGCTTAATACATGCTAGCGGTCATCAGTATGAGCAGCACTTTGTGGGTGGTTTTTATTTGCTTTTTTTAAATTTTGAAAATATGTTCTTCTATTTAAGGAAGGGAAACTTTTCTGGTCTTAGGTGCCTTTCTCCATTGCCTGGCAGTCTAAATTGTCACGAAAGGTTAAGGTGACCCTTCATGTAATCATCGTCTAGGAGGCCGCATTGTGTAGAGTGAGTCACCACCACTTAGAAGTGGGGGGGGTGAGTCAGTGGCTTTTAAGGGAAGGTCGGAAGTTCCCCTGGCTCAGAGTGAGAAGATCCAACCCAGTCCTGGGGTGCAGAACTGTGTGCTTATGTGGCCAATTGGACTTGGAATGTCATGGAGAACTTGGGCTGCTCAAGTGAGGAGCACAACGTGGGGGCAATGCTGAGGCTGTGCTGAGGCCGCGCATCACACGCATCACACGGAGCTCAGCTGGATTTCAACTCTGCCTCTATCTTGCTATGTGATCTAATTCACTAAGCCTCTGTGTGCCTCATTTTAAAATCATCTGTAAATGGAGAAGGTCTTAGTAGAAATCACTTCATGGTGTCAATTCTTGGGAAAATGCTGAGAACAAGTAAATACTCAGTGAAAGGTAATGGTCATCACCATCACCACGGCCATCGTCACGGTGCCTGGGAGTCTAGTCAGACAGCTCTAGGGATGGGCCATAGTGGAGAAGCAAGCTAAGGGGAAAGGAACAAGAAGTCCTTAACGTGGTGAGTTCTAGGTCATTTAGCTGGTATCAAGTATCAAAAAAGTCCTGGGTGCCTCCTGGCTCCACACCTATGAAGGAATGAGTGATGTGTGCTCACACGACTTGCATTTTGTAGAGGAAAACCCTGAGGGGTAGGGTATGAGGAACCTTCCTGCAAAAACGCAGCTCTGTGCACCCTTTTGACAAGTGGCTCCTGATTGTGCCCAGCCAGACGGCGGCAGCTCTGGTCTGGAACCTGTGGTGGGCTGAGCTCCGCTGGGCCCCTGGCCTGTCAGGATGGCCGTCTTTGCTGACTCACAGGCACCCTGCGTCCTCCTCCTGGTCTCCTTGGCCCTCTGACTTCACGCCTGCTGTGAATCTGCACATCCTTTGTGCGTTTTTGCTCATGTCTTATGCTTCCTTTGCCTTCCCATTTACTCTGCATGTTTCAGTCTCTGGGCTTCTCTCTCTCTCTTCTTTTTTTTTAATGCGGTGATGTTTCTCTTTCCCTCCCTCCTCTCCCCCCTTTTCCCCCATCTCCGCCCTCCACACCAATCAAATTCCTGCTTGCTTCTTGCCGTATTCATTATCCCACCTCATCCCCCTCATTCCTAGAAAACAGCTCACAGAGACTCACCCTTCCCCCTCCAACTCCCAGGCCCACCCTCCATAAACTCCAGCAGCCTGACAATCAGTAACTTTAGCATCACACTTCACAGCTCTCCCAGCTCACACTACTTGTTACTATTCTCTCTGCTACTGCTCTCTAGGGTTTCTGCTCAAAAAAAGAAAGAAAGAAAGGAAGGAAGGAAAAAGAAAGAAAGAAAAGCTCCACTTTAGAAATATCCTGGGCACAAGTTGAGCCCACAGTTAAGTTCACTCACACATGTACACATTTCACGGTTGTATTCTACCTAGTGCCAAGGAGCCGGACCCTCAGGGTGCAACAGGAGAGAAGCAAACCCTCCAAACATTCTCCAGCCCCAGTCCTGGGTCCTCCCCCTCTCTTCTCCCCCTCCCCTGATCCCAAACTGACGGGGCCTGCTTTCCCTTTGTCGGGTCATTCATTCCACTCTTCCTGGAGCTCAGGTGGCCTGGAGTCTGTGTCCGTGGGCACACGTGGTGGCCACTGCCGGGTTTCCAAGGGCTCACGGCTCCTCTCCATCTTACCAGGACGCGGGAGGGAGGCAGCTCTGGGCTCTGGCTCTCCCTCTCTTTCTCTCCCTGCCCCCAACTCAGCCTGGGCTTTTTCCTGTCTCTCAACTCCACCAGTGCAGCAGCAACTAGCTGAGCTGCTTGCGTGTGAGTGTGAGTGTGTGTGTGTGTGAGTGTGTGTGTGTGTGTGTGCGTGCGCCTGCCTGTGCAGCTAGGCCAAGCCTGCAAGCCGGGCCTGTCACTGGAGAGTTTTAGTTTGCATTCAGAAGAAAGGAGGAGGGAGACCGGAGGGGAGGAGGGAAAGGTGGAGGGGGAGTGGGGGTGCGGAGGGGGGAGGAGAGGGGGTGCGGAGAAGGGAGGGGAATGTCTTGTTTGTGGCTTGTCAGCAATTGCTTCAGACAAGCTTCCATGTGTGAAAGCTACTTGGCATGAATGCCTGGGCCGTACCAAGTGTCACCGCAGCGAGAGGGGGAGTCAGAAGGAAAGCAGATCAGACCAGAGCAGACAATAGGCCCCTAAAGTGTTCCCCCTAAGTTGCTTTGATGTTGTCCTGGTGTCTTGATACCAGGAGGCCAGGGATCGCAGGGAAAGGGCCTTTTTTGTCTCCATTCACTTTCCCCCTCAGTTTCTGAAATGATTCTCCAGAATTTCTCCTCATAAAAAAGGTAAGAGCCCTAACAATTCCTTCTTCTGGGCAGGCTGGCTCGCCCGTGCCTGCAAGTGGGGGTCTCCTTCCTGCGCTGCTCAGGAGGGGCGCTGGGGTCCTGCGACTGGACTGCAGCTCGCGCGTTCCCCCTGCCAGTCCTTCCAAGGCGCTCAGGGCTGGGGGTGGCCCTCTTCCCAGGGAACCCCAGTAACACGATCTCGCCTCTGGGTCGGTGGGGGAAAGGGGTGGAAGGAGAGGGTGGGAGGAGGGTGGAGGGTGGGAGGGAAAGAGAGAGGGAGAGAGGGCGAGAGGGCAGAGCCCTCCTGGGAAGCCCAGCCCGAGCCAGGGCGGCCTTGCAGCTCCGAGCTGTGCCTTCTCAGGCTGAGCCAGGGCTGGCTGGGCTGTGCCGAGTGACTGCAGAGATGCCATCGAGCTTTGTGTGTGCGAGTCTGCCGGGGTCTGTGGAGTGTGGACTTCCCACACTCTGCCTTGGCGCGCCTGTGGGGAAGGGGGGTTACCCCAGTCCTCAGCCCCCGCCCAGACTCTCCCAGGAAGAGCCGCCTGGCAGGCGACAAGGGAGAGCCAGGGAACTCTGCCACGAGAGGATCACAAACTTTTCCAGCCTCAGGCATCTCCCCGTCGCAGACACTGTAAAGCAGCCGCGGGTGCCCCGGCCTCAGTTTCCCCACCTGTGTAAACGAGAGAACGCCCATGGGGGATGCGGCCCATCTCCCCGGGATTTGGCAAAACCTCACAGAGCACTGTGTCTAAAACGTGGAGAGATGGCCAAGCTAGGGATGCTGTGGGATCACAAAGTACAGGTGTCCCCCTGACTCCTGGTCACCACCATAATGATGACAAAACATCGTTAAGGACACCCTGAGACAAACACCCCGGAGCACAGATCAAGTGTCTGAGCATTTCTAAGGAAACAAAAAGCCCTTTTCCACCTGTTGGCTTCTGTCCCTCTCTCTTGTGTCTTGTGTTAGATTTATTGGCCGATTTGTACAGAGAATGGGGTGGGAGGGGTTGGGTTTTCCCCTTTCCTCCTCCCTCCTACATTTTTTTTTTAAAAGAAGGTCAATGTAAGATGCTTGAGAAGAAAATGTGCCTCCTGTTGTGGTAGTTGATTCGAGACCTTGTGTTCTGGCCCCGGCACGGCTGCATACACATCTGTAAGCTCTGCTGTGGAGGGTGAAGATTTTTATTGTGGCTTTTAGAGATTAAATGAGATTTATTTACAATTGCCGTTTATCAGAGAGTAGATACCTTACCGTGCGTGTGAGGGTAGGAATGTGACGGCTCTTTACTCACTGGTGGTTTTGTGGATAAAACCTTTTGCTTTTCCAAGTGACATCTTGAGATGTGGGAGTAGAAAGCTGAAATTAGTACCTAATATTCATCTCTAAGATTTTTGTTTGGAAGAAAAAATTATGCATATATAGATACACATTTTTTTGAATTGTGGGTTTTCTTTCTTCTGCTCTTACACAGTGATTATTTAAGATGCTCAGTTGTAGCTCTCTCTGAATTCTCTGGGGGAATTTTGCTTTCTCACCTAATTCTAGGTTTCCTATGACTCTGCTACTTGCCCCCCCAAAAATCTGTGAAAGTCTGGGAGGCTGTGACTACTTCCATTCTAACTGCGAATGTTTATCAGACGGACTCCCTGTGATGGCCAGAGGTGGAAGCTAAGGCCAGGCCTGGTTGAGAATATTGTTGTTCTTATAGGAGGGCCTGGAAACTGATTTCTAGGCAGGGAAAGGATGATGTCTGAAAGACATTTAATTGGTCTCAATCTGGCAAGAAGATGCCCGCCCCCCTCCAACCCACATTGACTGTTTTATTGGAATAGAGCGATACTTTATATCTCAAAACTTGTTTTCTACTTCGTAGGCAGAAGATCTTACCATGGTTTGTCTCTGGCAAGCTCTTGGGGCTCAGATACCTTTCTAAAATGTCAGAATCTCAGAACTGCAATGGAGAAGAAAGGTTATTCACCATGTTTTATGATTTATTTATTCCATCGCAGTCCTGGGGGGTGAACCCAGGGGGCTTCACCACTGAGCTATATCTCCAGCCCTTTTTATTTTTTATTTTGAGATGGAGTGTCCCTAAGTCGCCCAGGCTGTCCTCAAACTTGTGACACTCTTGCTTCGGCCTTCTGAGTAGCTGGAGTCACAGGTGTGCACCACCGAGCCCAGGTTCATCGTGTTTCAGATGAGGATGTTCAGGCCCAAGAAAGGCAACCAATGATCCGAGGAGGCCTCACGAAGCTGTGGTGTCATGCAGATCTCACCCTGGGGCTCAGAGTGTCCTGTGGGTAGTCATGCCAGCCACCTCGCCTCCCCCACACTCCATCTCACACCCTCCAGCCTTGGACCATCAGGGTAGGCACTTCTCTGGTTCTCTTCTTATGCTAGGCTCTAGCAGCTCTCCGCCCTGCTCCTGCCGTCGCGGGCACAAACGGCAAACACGGCCACAACGTGGACTGGCACAAATCCATTCATGTATTCATTTGTTGACTCAGCTGATATTTGGGAGCCTTTGTTATGTGTCGGGCCCCTTATTGGGCACTATGGATATAGAAAAAGCACTACAGAGAAGCCCCTACCCTTAGGGAGCTTATAGAGCTGTTGGTATGATCAACATTAAATACATACTTCCACAAATCAGTTATTAAAACTTTTGTTTTTTGTTTTCAGTGCTGGGAGTCAAACCCAGGGCCTCTCACATGCTAGGCAAGTGCTATGTCACTGAGCCACAACCCAGCTCTTTTTTATTGTATTTTTTATTTCTCATACTATGGATTGAACCCAGGGGCACTTTACCACTGAGCCACATCCCAGTCCATTTTATTCTTAGTTTGAGAGGATTTTGCTAGATTTCTGAGGCTGTCCTTAAACTTATGGTCCCTGGTATCAGTCCCCAGAATAGCTGGGATTGAAGGTGTGCCCCCGCACCCTGATAGGGATCAGAACATGATATAGATTCAACAGCAGCATGCAGATGTCATAATAAGACATTCACGTTGTCGACCTAAATTCTCTAACTGGATATGAGCTGACTGTCCTTTTCTCTTTGTGCCTGAGATTCCCCTGCCCCAGCCAGTCCTGTTTCCACTGGTGACATTCCTAATCATGGAGCCCAGCAATTGCAATGACAAAGACTTTAGGAAATTCTCTCTCTCTCTCTCCCTCTCTCTTCCCCCGCAACCCCCAACCCCAGCACACAGCATAGCAAAGACTCAAATAACATCTGCTAACCCTTTACACTTGTACTATTAAATACCTTAACACTTGTTGTGAGCCGGCCTTATAACAGTCATTATCTGGGTAATTCAGTTAGCGGTAGCCTCTGAGCGCTGTTAAATCCTAATAGGCGTTGGAGGGGACTGTGGTTAGTGAGGCTTTCCCCTCGCTTTACTTATTCCATAGTTCCTGGGCTGATACTAAACACTTGGCTGCAGGAAACTCCACCATTATTACTGTCATCTTGGAATTTCAAAGGCAGTAAGGGTAGTGAAATGGCTTTTCCCACTCTTCCCAACATGCCTATATAGAGAGAGAAAAGATTTTTTTAAAAATCCCAGCAACTGATTCCATTTTGGTTGGGTTACTAAAATCTTCCCAGTTTGGTGATATCAAAGATATGGCCATCTCCCCATCCCTGTTCCCGTTTGTGGTCTTCCCTGGAGAGAGGATATGGTTGAAATGCTAGTCATTTTTGTAAGAAGGCAGATTTACGTTGGTGCCTGTATCACCATTTTCTACATTGTGTCTTTTTCTAGTACTCAAGGAAATGTTGTCTTCAGTGTTGTCAATCTGTCTTTTTTTTTAAAAAAGATTAATTTAATAGCTTAAAAAGAAGATAGACATGCCCACCCACACATAAATCATAGGTTTGGTGCGTACACTTTGAGAACCTACACACACACTGTATGGTTAAGTCACGTCATGAGCAAAGTGAGAGTCATTCCTGTGCACCCCATATGTTATGTAGTGATGTGCCCTGCCCACACTGTACCGACTCCCAAAATCAGAGCTTGCCATGGTCTGCGGTTGGCATTTGAGGCCAATTCTTTCTTGGGGCAGGATGCACTCTATTTGCAAGTCTTTGATCACTTCCGATTTAACTCTGCCTCCCAAACATGTTACTCACCGGGGAGCTGCCTCTGGCAGAGGAAATCTGAGTTGGCACTGGAAGAGTAATCCAAAAACAGTGGGCAGTTGAGACGTGAGTAAAACAAGGGCCTGGTTGGAGGAGAGGTTTATCAGACCGTCCTCAACTCTGGGAGAATAAAAATGAAGACTTTTGTGATGTTTTACAAGGTTCAATGTGTATGTGCTGGGTATAAGTAAAAATGCTGGCACCTCTAGTCCCACTAAAGGCAAAACTCACACGATGTGCAGGATGTCCCCCGACTGTTCAGTCCCAAATCCTATGTTGCATACAGCTTGGATGAAGGAAATTTTGCACCCCAGCCCTAAGAGACGTAAAATATAAAATGTAAAATAGAAAACGTCTTCATTCCTTGTAAGCCCTGATATTTCAATGCACTCTAAAATATCTGCTTGGTCATCTCCTATAAGAGACTGTGAATTCAGTGATATTGTTATCCTTCGGTTATGTTCGAGTAAGGTTATATGATTCATTCAAGAACTCAAGAAAATAAGGTGCAACGTGTGGGTGGCGATTCAGTTGCTAGGTCTTCCCATCAGTGATGAGGAGCAGAGAACTGAGGCAGTCACCGCACTATTCAGGTGTTGATGTGGCATTAAAATGATGACTGTAGTCTGCCTCCCACACACACACACACACACACTTTTTTTTTTAAATACTAGGACTTAGAAAGTATTGATTTCTAAAAATTTTTTTAGTTGTAGTTGGACACAATACCTTTATTTATTTATTCATTTTTATGTGGTGCTGAGGATCGAACCCAGCACCCCGCACGTGCCAGGCAAGCACTCAACTGCTGAGCCCCAGCCCCAGCCCTTGATTTAAAGGGGAAAAAAA